ACACTCTGTTTCCAGCGGTTGTTGCCCTTGAAGAGGTAGGCAGCGATTCTCCTGAACTCAATCAGCTCGTGCTTCTCCAAGCGCTGGGCCAGTGAGATGTTGTCAAAGTTGTCGTAGGCATCTATTGATGTCCTCAGTGCCTAACAAGAGTGCGACAGGAAAAGGGAAGAATATTACATCAACGAATAATGACAACAAAACAAAACAACACAATACAGCAGCAATGTTAAAGGCTCTCTCACCTGATAATCCTCCTCTATGATGAAGAGGTTGTTAAGTGCTTCATTGACTGATTTGTTATTGTGGTTCTGTACTGACCGCAGGTAGGGTTTGACCAGAGGCAGCTGTTTCACCTGTGGACAACATACAATCATCATCTCACTCACACTGATCTCTCAAATTTAAAACAGAATTTCCAGAAAAAGAAGGAAATTCATGCCAAGCGTTTTTGTGATATTATATCTGTTTTTCAAATTTCTTGTGCTTCCACTCAGCTTGTAAATGCGCAAATTGAAAATGCACATAAAAATAGGTGGATGGAAACTTTCACACATGTCTATCACACTACTTCCATGAGGTTAAAAAGTACCTTGCTGAAGAAGTTGACAGCACGGGAGTGGTCCAGTCTGGGAGAAAGCACTATGAGCAAATCATTCAGTAACAAGGGCTTGAACTCCAGATAGAACTGGGTGGCTTTGTAGTACAGCTCCACGTTGGCCACCTACACAGAGGGAAGGTGCAGAGGGAAAGACATGTTTAGAATTTATTAACACATTGCATTTTATAATACTGTCTTCAATGACGTATATCTTATCCAGAAATCAATTTGAGGCAATAATGAAGACATATTTTGGCAATCAGCAAGAGATTGCAGTGGATCACTTTCACACTAATTTCAGTTGAAATACAATTAGACACAGTAGGATACCTCAGAAACCCAAAAATATAATATTAAAACATAATCTTAGTTTTGAAATCATCACTATACCTTGGTGATGATGTCTTTGAACTGTCCCTCCTTCCAGGCATCTGTTGGGTGGTTCATCATAGTGATGATGGCATTGTCGAACTCCTCGTACTTGTCGTACAGGAAGACCAGCTCGGCCCACAGGTGCGCCTGCTCCGCTGCTCTCAGGACCTTCGGGATGTTAACTCTGGACCAGAACAGCTCCAGGTGCTCCCTCATCTTCTGGGGCTTGAACTTGGAGTAAAGGATGGCCAGCTCTGTGAACATCCCCATGTGAGCGCGCTCCAGGCCCAAGGCAGCCTCCAGCATGGTAATCAGCTCTTCAAAGTAACCGCGGTCCTGAGAGAGAAGACGTTGGAATGAATGTGGTCAATGTCAATGTATTTTTCTGTATGTATGTGGACTAAGTGGCATGTTTTTAAATTAGACAGTATAATAATGTAAACTAGATGCAAACACTGCACGATGCATGATTTTTGAAATAACATGCCAGGAGATGAAAACACACACACACAAAAAAATCCCTGTATCTTACTTGGTAGTAGTTGATGAGCTCCTCCAGCTCGTCAGCGTGCACCACGATGTGAAGACCGCACATCTGGGCCAGTCTGAACTCCTTTCCATCCACGCAGGCGAAGCACACCTCTTTCCAGGTGCGGGTGCTGTTGGCCTTACGGGCGCCGTCCACAGCCGCCTGGTACTCCCCGAGGTGCACCAGAGTTGAAGCCAGACGACCAAAGTTGGAGACGTTGTTGTATAGCAGCTTAGCCGCATCATACATTTTCTCATCATAGCAGCGGTCACCAACCTACATAACAGATACAAGAACGATGTAGTATTGAGTAACTTTTGACCTGACAGCTTTTATGACAAGGTGTGCAAGAAGAGAGGCTGACCTGTTGGATGTGAGCATTGTTGGGTCCATTGATGAACTCTTCCAGTTCAGCCAGGCGATTGGTTTTGGCCAAGGCAAAGATGAGCTCTGTCTCCACGTAGGACTCGCGGGCCTTCTTACGAGCCATCTGAAGGAATTTGACCAAGTCCTCCCAGTTACCTGAAACATGTGGACAGTGGTATTAATCTCTTGTGTGTTTCTACATTAATCCCTTGTGTGTTTCTACATTAATCCTTTCCTTTTTCGTAGATGTGGAACACGGCCTCAACTGTATATTATGCTAGTGTGCACTTTCAATAAAGAATTGCTGAACTAGCTGCAAAGATCAGCAAATACCCCTGAAGGAGAAAACCCAAACTCCACAACACAGTTGATGTACTCTGTATCGATCGCTTTCAATCGAAGCAACACTGGCAAACAGCTAACAGCTTTCTCTGAAACCCTGCCTTCAGTTAATAGTGATTGATCAGCTCACAGTAAGTGAGGTGGTATTCTTTCCCTCTAAACTTTGCTCAGCTTTCGAAAGTCCTTTGCTGTGCCTCATTGGTAGAAACAGAACAACATGGCCATAGACACTTAAAAATTAAATCTCAACCAAGCCCGGTGCTTTTTTACTCCGCCATCTTTTGACTTTTGACTTGAGCTCAACAGGTCTCCTTACCGCTCTTATCGGCAGCCTGAACCACCTCCATGTATGCAGAGGGATCATCAGCTTTGATGTAGGAGTCAATGGCCTCTTTAACCAAGTCCTTCTGTAGCTGAGCCTTAGCCAGCTGGCTCCACACAGCCGGCTCGTTGCAGCGTTCTGCAAACTCATAGGCCCGGTCCAGGTTGCCAATATGCTCGATCAGCACCTAGGTTAAAAAGAAAAAACATGGACGATCAACACTTCTTAAGTCAATAAGGTATTAGGTCAAGCTGTTTAAGAGCTAATGACTGACCTGCACAGCGGAGGTGTTGACGTCAAACTTCTTGAAAATGGCAAAGGCCTCCTCAAAAAGCTCATTGCTGATGGCAATGTTAGCGATATCAGGAGCGTCATAGTTGTCTAGCCTGCTGATGTACTCCATCACACGGGTACGGTCAGCTTTGATTGCTGTCAGGATCAGCAGGTTCTGTAGATTTCTGTAGAAAAGAGGGGAAGACACAAAACCCTCAGCACCTTTTAGTTTTACAATTTGATTTTGCAATGTCTCATGGGAACACAGTAAAACATCCAAATGTTACAGCTAAAAACACCTGTGTTCACTGAAGACGGAGTTGTCCAACACAATCTTCTCCAGCAGCTCAATGAGCTCGTTGGGCAAGTCTGCGGTCATGAAAGCCTTAACTGTGACTGATACCTCCTCTGGGTCCTGGGTTTCTGACAGAGCTGTCTGGACCACCTGAGGGCAAAAGAACAGAGATTTAGAGAAGCACCAGGCAGCTGTATTAAATGAGATAAGACTTGTCTTGTGTAGACTTTACCTGGTCAATGAGTGGTCGTCTGAAGGGGTTGCTCTCCAGCAGCACGCTGGCCCACAGCTCAGGGTCTTTGCGGCGGACCAGATAGCGAGACAGGCTCTTGAACAGGGAGTTCTCGTTGCAGACCTGAATGAATGAATAGAACAAAGATGACAATTCTTCCTGCTATACTGAAAGCAGTTTAATGTACTACATCAAAAAAAGGAGGGTGAGCTGAAACAGATATTTGGGTACACAGGTGAGAGGCAGGCAAGTACAAAAAATGCATCCTCACATTGATCAGCTCCTGGTCACACTGCCCTCTCTCATAGGCTACACAGGCCAGGTGGGGATCTCTCTTCTCGCAGTACTTTCCCACCACACGGCTGTCATAGAATGGGTTTTCCCTCAGGAAGCGTTCAGGGTTGTTGTTGCTGTCAATGTAGATCTTGGCCAGAGCATTATGGGTGGCGGGTTCCTCACAGCCTTCATGGATACGTGACTCCAGCCAGGGCAGCAGCAGCTTCAGTCTGTCAGAGAAAGAGGATGTCAGGACTCTGACTGCTCACACAACTTCTCAGACAGGGATGGAGCACAACTCAAAGCTTACTTGGAGTAATAGACAATGTTCTCCATGTGGGGGTGTTGTAGACATGTGCTGAATAACTCAAATATTTCTCTTTGGATTACTGTAATTTATTAACAAGTTTATGTCGGTCTTTTCATATTAAAAAAAAAGGGTTAGGGTTAGGGTTAATGCACAGTTATGACTAATCTCTCTGCCAAATGTTTATTTTGGTTGCTAAGAAATAAAGTAATGGCAGTACACTGAAGTACAGTAAAGGAGAAAGTTGACCAAGGTTCTGACCAAGTCTTGCTCAACTGTTGCAAACAAAAAGGGTTAACTCTAATCAAAACGTTTACCATTACACTGAAAGGCAAAATTAATGAAACATTTTTGTTGTAATGTTTAGAAACATGTACGTGGAATCGTGCAGCACCTGTTCCTCTTTTCCACCTCAGCGACCAGTTCATCAGTAGAGAACTGTCCCCTGACAACCAGGATCAAGCTCTTGATAACATCCTCTGAGCAGTCCACGTCTAAGAGACCACCAACCACGACAGGCAGACGGCTAGGATTCACCTTAGAAAAGAATTTAACAATAAATCTCCTTTTCTTATTTCTGTAATAGAAGGATCTAGCATAATCGTCATGATGCATTTGAACACTTCACCACTGAGCCTTACCTTCTGAACATAGATCTCAATGTACTTCTGCAGGTTGTTGCGGTATAGATAGAGGACCAGGTCGTGGACAAAGTCAAAACGGTCACAGACGATGATGAGTGGTAGCTGGTCGGTGAGTTTGGCTTCCTGTTTGTCACACACAGTGGAGGGAAAGAGGCCACACTGAGAGTAAGATAACATAACCAATAAAACACCTATATACAAGCCACAAAACATCAACCAACCCTGATGCATCAGGGCTGATCTTTCACCACTTCACTTGCTGGTGTACTGAGTATGATGGTAAGACATTTATCAGTCACTGAAAATGAAATTTAAGGTATCATTTTTCAGTTACAGAGTGATTTAAAAACTATACAATACAAAATAAAGGGTTTGTCACTACAACAAATGGACATCACATTGCAAAATGTGTGTGTTTCACAGTAGAGACACACAACAAGACCTCTAAAGAGAGCTGCCAGTCATCAGGTCAACACTAGACGGCGCTGACCACTAGTTCTCTGTACCACAATGCATTGCTGTGCTGACACACTGGTGCCATCCACAAGTCAAACAGGATTAACAAACTGGGATTGTGCACTTTGTTAATATGTCATCCAAGAACATGCTGCACCCATTAGAGGCTCCTATTTCGGGACCACACACTTACACATGAAAGGCAGAACCCCAACTTGTTCACCATTAACTACCACGTAGAGCTCAGAGAGCACTGGTTGCACCCGAGTGGGTGTATGGATTGAGGTGTCTAAGCATATACGCCTCCATACTAATCCCAGTTTCAACCCTGTGCCTAATAGGTAAGGAGTAGGGATAAGTCCTGTACTGTGGGGAAGGATAGATTTACCTGATACATGTCCTGCCATTCCAAAGACAAAAGAGGAAAAAACATAATTGACTGCCATCAGGATGGTTCAACATGTTTAAGCAATTCAGGCAGATTGCTTTAGATATTATAATTTTATAAACTACAGGAAGGGGTCAAAACATTAATCTGTGAAGCTTTTCTTCTAAGAGCATGTAACATTTAAAAAAGCCTGACTAAGCACTTCGAGGAATTTGTGATAAATGAGTAGAAATAGGGATTCCAACATTGCAACACTAGAGAGATTTGTCCTGAGACCAACTTGGTGTAAAATTCTGACATGAAACTGTTATGGTTCGGATAAGATCTAATAATGAAAAAAGCAACAGAGTAGATAAGAAACAGAGGAAGACACAGTGTTTGCAGACGGAGAGTGTGACGAAAGTAAAAGTAAACACCCGGTAAAGGAAATAAAAGAGCTGTTACGTGTCAGTGTTTGATCACTCCAGATGTCCCTACGGCTTTACCTTAAGGAAGTTCTTGACACGCTCAGGGTCGTAGCAGTTGCTCTCTCTACAGATCCTCTCCACCTCTTTGATCTGGCCCGTCTTGCAGGCAGCCTGAATGTATTTGAAGTGAACCTCGGGGTCCTGGCTGAAGTTCACAATAGAGCCGAGGAAGTAGAAAAGACCTGAGAGACACAGACAGTCACTTATATTAAGCTTTGAAAGATGTACATGTCTACGTCTGCACCTAACTAAAGATAGCATTATGGATCTGATAATAAATCCTGAAAAGATATAACTGACATTAAAATTTTGCTTCATGACTGCAGTTCTTCTCTTCCCCCAATTAGTTTACTCAACTTTTACGCTCCATTATTCCAGTAATAGTAGAAGAGCTGAACTAATTCACCTCCAGGCCACTCTATTGATTGTCCTACCTCTGCTCTGGCCTACTTGTCTAATTGATAGTTAGGGGACATCGAAATACATGGATGGGAGGGAATGGCTGCATAAATAAAACTGAAGGACAAGTCAAATACACTCTGAAGTCTAGCCAGGATAAAGGGACATTTAGCATTCATTATACTTATAAGACCCAAACATCTGTACTGTCTGGATTATAGATTTCAGTGTTTCATTTAAAAAAAAGATACAAATATCAGAAAGGAAGCAGTCTGTCAATATAATGTTTGGGACCTCACCTTCAAAGCTCTTGAACGACTCAAAGAGCTCAGTGAGAGACTGCGTGCTGAGCTGTTCATGGTACTTGGAAGCCACCTGGACACAAATCTGCAGGTTTTGGCGGATGTTGGCGGACAGCATGGCCCTGAGGCACTCCAGAGAGTCCTCCACTGACAGTGAGCCAAAGAAGTTCACCAGCCACTGCAGGTGGAGAAGGAGATGTTAGTACAAGTCATAGGTTGTACAAAATATCTACCAGGGAGTTAATGAAAAATTCCACAATAAGCTGTTGTTTCTTTGACAAAAACGAAAAAAAGGCTTTAGATTTAATCTAATTTCACCCAGTCTGTAACTGAAGCCTACCTCCGGGTTGAGCAGGTGTGTGTGCACCACAGCACGCTTGATGTCGTACAGGTCGGTGTAGTGCTCCAGCGCTCTTTGCAGGAGTCCAGCCTTCTCACACAGTTGGGCGATGTGGGCACGATCGTAGTTGGTGAACATTTGGTTGCCCAGGATAGCATCAGCAACCTGCACCCCACGACACGAAGCAATAAAAAAGGTAAGATAAAAAAAATGCATCCTAGCTCTTTTCATTGGATTTCTTTTTACTAAAGTATGTGTTGATGTGTCTACCTGTGGAGCATGCATGAGGTTCATCTCCAGCAGGCGAGTCTGCAGTGGTCCTTCTGAGGGTCTGTTGTTCTTCAGAGCATCCAGAAGGAGGGATGTATAGCTGGATCAGGTTGTACTCATGAATAGCATGCGCACAATCTGAAGCAGACATGGAGACACACCAGGTTGAGAACTTTTACTCAAGAGAGGAACAGAGACCATGTAGCTGCTGACGGGTATGTAGCTGCTGAGACTATAACTTGTCAAAACCTTTCTTTGAAAATAAAGTACTACTGCACTGGAGATTAATAACACACCTGGCATAGGCTCCTAAACTTCTGACAGGATTAAATTTAAGAGATGCAAGAAGACCACATTTAAAGCTGCTTAAAGGCCACTTGCAATGAAAATTCAAAGTTGGCCGAATACAAGACATTTCTTCCTCCAAAGACTGAAGAAACCCTCTGATGCAATGTGTTTTATTCTTGAAACTCTTGTTCCCTGCCAGTACAGCACTTAAGGAAACACAGAAAGCTGTATCAGCAGTTAACATTTGCAGTGCAGTGAATGTCTGCAATGGCAGGAAGCAAAAGAAGAGGTGCATTTCCTTTATACTAAAGGATATCTGAGGTTCACAGATGTTGGCATGTAAATGACTTAGTCAAATACTTTGTGTATTTTCAAGGAAAGTTCAGGTTGACTTGTTAACAGCAGACTTGGGATGTAGGAAGGTCACTCACAATGTTCATCTTAATTTGGAAAAGTATAGTTCAGTTACCCTACCCCTCAAAGACTCAGCAGTACAACTTAACAGTGGATTTTTAAACTCCTACTAAACTCACCGTGGTCAGTTTCAATCATAGTAAGACATGAATATCTTATCCTATCCCACACTTTAATAAGATATAGCAGCAGACAGTCAAAGTCTACTCTATAATTAAGAACTACATTAGAAAAATCCATGTATTCCTGAGTATCACTGAAAATCCTTTCTCTGACCTGTGTAATGTCAGCCAGTGGCTCTTCATCCTGGACCAGCATCTGAGCAAACTGCAAGCCTTGTTCTGGGTTGATCCGCATCACATTCCTGAGCAGAAAGATCCAGTCTGGAGTGTAGCCCACCTGGAACAAAAAAAAAAAGATACATTAGAGTACAATAGATCAAATTGTAGGGCCATGGTTTCAAGCAGTTATTTTAGGTCTCCAACAAGAAGTGCTTCTATGTTCATTAGATTTCATAGAGACACACATCGCTATTTAAGCAAGAAACATTTCAAAATGTCTTGCAATATACTTTATTGAAACTGAAACCTTGAAGTAGAGATTAGGGATTAGATAATTGTTTTGACATATTACATAGGGTGTGCCTTCTCCTTCATTGGCCCTACATTTCATCATTTGGAAATCATCAAATACTATCTCAGTCAGACCGACATACCTTCTTAGCGTACAGGACGATCTTGGGGAACTGACCAGTCTCCGCAAAGCACTGAATGACTTTGTTGGGGACGTTGGCCCTCAGGTAGACACTGAGAGCCAAGGTGGGATCCACTGCCTTTACCAGGTCACCCAGTTCCTCTGAACACTCCAACTGAAATGTAGGACAAGAAACATCAGTACTGGAAGAAATTCAAGACAATTTAAAAACAAGCATACATTATTATTCTTTTATCTTTCATTTTTTAAATATTTTCTTTCTTCATCTCTCTTTGCTTTATTTTCCTTTTTATTTCTATATTTGCCTATGCGGCCTATGTGGTGAATGAATGAATTTATATCCCCAACCCCCATTCTCTTTCTGTGCTCATTGAGGCAGCTTAGATCCACCCAAATGTACAGTTTCTAAGGAAAACTTCACAAATTCCTGACATAACAGATGTTCTCACATGACCCATGATAATAGGCAAGTCATATAAACAAACAGGCAGCTCAGGAAGAGCCACTTCCTGTGAGTGGAGGCTGAGATGTAGATCTGCAATACCTTGTCTTCCTTTAGCCACTTCTCCAGGAGCTGCTTTCGTCCCTGCTGGAGGACAGGCCTGCAAAGCTCCAGGGACTCGAACTTGTTGAGCTGGCCCTGGTCCAACAGGATACCAAAGTACTGCAGCAAGGGGGATGTCTGTCCTGGCTGAGTGGGAACGCTCTGGAAGCGACGGATGGTATCTGGGGTTCGCAGGATACCCTGAAAGGGGAAAGGTGAACTGAAGGTGAGAGGACATCTAAACGCCTGATAAAAGGCCAAACTCTGTAGAATATAATGCAATTCAAGTCCAAGTCAGACTATGTCGGAGAGCTGTTGATTGCCTCAGTGCTATCAGGATGAGTACCTTTGGTGCATTGGCAGCGACCTTAGCAGCCTCGGAGTAGTTGCCAGCAGCAAACAGGTTGTTGAACTTGCGTGCAAAGAGCTCTTCAGCGCCGGCGAGGTTGTTGCGGACGGCTAAGCGGAGAGCCAGATCTGGATTCTGGAGCACGTTAGTGATGTAGGGGATGATGTTTTCCTCTTCCACGCAGACTGACAACACCTTTGTCACAGGAAAAAATAAAGAATGCTGCAGTTGAGTATACTAGAGACTAGACACAGGGTGTAATCAACCTGCTACATCTGATCATCTTTTAAAGCATTTTGTTTGCATAATTCTGATGGAAAATACCACATTTTCTTACGTTCAAAATTCTATCTATAAGGAGTAACAATTATGTCATGTCCTCACTCTATTATCATACCAGCAACTTTTTTTGTAAATAATAATATCTTTCATGTGCTTCCATCATATATGAAGCACCAAATCAAATGAAGTGAGATGCACTGCACACTAACCCACACCCCCACAATGTTTAGTGAGGCTCTGAGTTAAAGCTTAGACCGATAAATCGAACAGGCCGATTAATGCAATCTTGACTGGATTTAGTGGATAGTCCTTTTTATTTTAACCCATCTTAGATAGATCTAGACGACTGGCGTAAATCAACACATTCCTTATTCACGTCCTGTGCCAGAAATGAGCAGAGTGAGCAAGCTCAGCTGAATACAACTGTGGGCAATAGCATTAAACTCCATTAAACGCTGTCTGGTCTTGGGTTGTGGCTGCTGAATGCAAATGTATTATTAGTGGGTCAGTGTAACGCATGGCTTTTGTGAGCAGTCTGGCAACAGAAAGAGAAACGGAGAATGAGCTGAATAAAAAGGGGAGGATGGAGGAAAGGGAAGGGGGGCGAAGGAGAAAGAGGGCCAGTGTTGGCCCCTCTACAAACAAGCCAAGCAGGTCAGCGCCCCAGCTTTTAACACGGGTGACTAGACCTCATTCATCCTGCCACTAAAGAAGAGTCACTTACTCACTACAACGCGGGTGGACTAATTGGAGGTAGTTAAAATAAAAAAAAGAATAAATAAATAATAGACAGAAAAGAAGTGGTGAGGGAGGAGGAAAAGGGAGGAGGAAAAAGCATCTAACAGAGATGAAGAGGCTAATATTAAAGTCAGTAATGATTACAAACAGAAAAATGGGAGTGAAACATGGAAGATTAAAGAAATCCATGTCAGCCAATACTTAAGTGACAAAATACAGTCTTGAGACTTGAGAATACCCCTCAGTTAATTTTAGCTGTAACATACCATTTAAATACAATGACCAGAGTCTGATGGAAAAAAAGAACTTGCCAGAACAACTAGATAACACCAAGTGTCAGATGACACATGAGCAGTCGTATCAAGTGATTGACTGGCCCAGACACAAACACACAGAATAGTAAAACTGGAGGGTGGACCTCATAGGTTCCTGCCACGCTGATGACTAAGAGGATTGAGGGCACCAGGCTGTGCCTCCCACTTCACATCATGTGCTAAAGGGTGGTGGGCCCTTTTCTCCCCTCCTGCACTATTTTCCTTCTGTCCCTCTCTGGTGGGTTTGCAGCAGTTCTACACTGCAGCTATTATCATTACATGTCAATGTCAGGCCAGGTCTGGCAGATACTTTACACACTGCCCAGTCTGAGTCATGGTATATGAGATCCTGATGCTGAGACTCAAAGACTCAAGCAGGCCATAGCCCCCAATAAGAAATTTGCTGACTACAGGGACCAGTTTAGACAGCGTGGGAGGCAAGAATACTGGAGAGATGGAAACATACGAGTAGATATCAGGCACTAACTCGTAAAAAAAATTCAGGAGATTTATGTTCATATTGCTACCAAGTTTGTCCTACCATGACGTCAAGATCTTAGCACCTTAGAGTGAGGTTGTAGCAGTATTGATTTTTTCTTACCATGGTGACAAGACAGCAGACGCCTGTGGTGGTTAACCACCATTTAGTTCAGTCTTTTTGTCAGACCCAGACACAGGATGGTTATTGCAATTGAGTGAGGGAGTAGAAAACATTTTTGTTGGGTGGGGGATTATTTTTTAAATTTGCTTATCCTTTAACCCAAGTACTATAATACCACAACCCAAATAGTCAACTACAACTTGACTTACATTTCCAACTACCATTAAATCCTGAACCTTTTAGGCAGCCGTACACAGCCACACACCATCCCTTTCGGTGGCATTCTTCATTGTTCTGCTTGTCCAATCCAACCAGAAAATATTAGAATTAATTAGATTAAAAATCACTTCTGAGGTTCCAATTATCTGGTTAGCTTTTCTTTATGCTTATGTTGCTTGTTGACCAAAAACAGCAGTGGGTTTAAAAGAAATGTATGGTAAAAGTAGTAGTAGTGTATAACTTAGTATCAGGTTACCAATACTGTTGGTAACCAAGCCACTCTACTGAAGGCACTGAGGGGCCTAGACAGTGGCCTATTATCTCTCAGATCACTGCCTCTGTGTACGTGTTTGTGTGCATGTGATGTGTGTACACACATACACACAACGCACTTTTCTGCCCCAGCATACGGCAATATCCGTCACTGCCTCAGATCAGCTTTCCCCTCTTCACTCAATTATTCATGTGGTGTGTGGCCTGGCTGGAACATTATTCATCAGCTGGCTGGATCCAGTTCTCCTTTCTGGTTCAGCTTTACAAAAGCAGTAAGACACAACCCTCTCCCCTCTCTCTGTGTGAAACACTACACCTTGGATTATTTATAATGCCTCCTGGCAAAGTCTGAGCTTGCCTGATGACGACAGACGAACAAGGAGTTGTTATTACCCCATGCAACAACTGATGTTGATCGTTTGCATTCATTGACCTGTGTCAGATTTGCTGAACATGTGATTGCTGGTGACATATGGGGTAAATAATAAAGAGGTAGTTTTCTTGTGGTTGTGTGATCAAGGCAAGGAAGAATATTTCGTTTCATCAGCAAATTTCTACTTTGACATTACCAAGACTAAACAGCAATGCTAAACACACATCATTTCCTTAAGCGTTGATGATGAGTGCATGGTTGACATTCTTACCTGTCCCTTCCTGTTGACCCCAATGATGCCTGAGGTGGCCTCATGTGGAGCAGTAACAAAGATGGTCTCTCCACTAATGCGGTTCATGTAGATGCAGGTGCCTGTTTCCAAGTCATACAAGTGAATGTAGCCATATTTGGTGATAAGGAAAACCACATCTTGTTTGGAGCTTATCTGTCAAAAAACAAAGATGAAATATTGCGTTTGTAAATCTGATTATGGTAGTTAAAAAAACAAAACAAAACATCTCACAAAAACAGCCTTTTACTTCTTATTCAAAATGCTTAATTGACCTACTGATTTCACTCCTTATTTGAAATTTTGTTCGAACATGGGAAAAATAAATATTCAAACTGTGCTGACCTGTTCAAATTCAAAATGTATGGGTCTATAAGATCAACAGACTATTTGAAGTAGTTTGCCTTGAGGTCCAGTAGAGGGCTTTCTTGACCTATAAGCTTGACCTATTGCAGTAAATTAAGCTAATAAATAAAAACGGAGGACACTAACAAGCTATGCAATTTTTAGTGTTTACCAGCACTGAAGCCTTTTAAGAAGCAGTATTAAGAATAAGTATTTTGGGCTCTACACCGTAGATGGTAAAAATACCAACAAAGACATGCAGGCATGCAGCATACGGACTTTGTTAAAAGAAGCTGCCATTACAACGACAACAACTTTGAGGGCTCACCCACTAGCTTGTCCCCCAGTGAGGCACCAGAAACAAGTGGAGCAACGTCCGCTGTACAACCAGATCTGACTGCGTACTCAGGACACACTCATCCTTAAGACTCTAGCTAGAAGCTCGTAAAAAGGCCATGACCAATAAGGTAGCCGTGTTTAAATGAAAAGATATGCGGCCCATTGACATAGTTTTGGGAGAAGGATAGAGACAGAACTGGAGCCACAGTAGAAAATTCTAAATCAATTTACGTGTTTTTACGTATTTATTAGGGATGCACGATATATCGGCATTAATAT